GAACTATATATATATGAAGGGAATTAACAAAATCAAAGGTTTCCTAAGATATCCCAAATAAATTCTCTAATAGTTAGTGACCCACATGAGAGATGTAAATATGGAAAGAACAAAATCTTCTAGATTTTGACATCATCCTGACATACTTCAAGCTTGATTAGACTAATTAGTTTTTAACTATCATAAAGAATCTATGATTTGATAACCAAAGACAAAGTCATTACAAAATTACATATTCGCCTGATAAATTTCTAATTATTTAGCTAAGTTTTATATTTATTTGATACTCCTAATAAATTGAAAACCTTTTTATAAGTTTCCCTAAAAACTACAACTACTGACCAACCATACAAGAAATTATACTTTAACAAATATAAAATTTCAAGTTTCATATTACCACTAAAATCTGCAAGGCAGTGAAGTAATATTATTACTATTTTTAATAATATATCAACTTATACAATTTATGCCCAATCAAACAAAAAAAAAATTGATTTACTCTATATATTTTATAGCCACTAAAATAATTCTGAATAATCAAAATAAATTGCATTCCCAAAATACATGAGTGAATGCAACCAAAACTGTTAGTAGGGAATCAGATTAAGCAGCTCTCAGCAAGGATAATTAGCCTAATTAAAATGTAAATAATTATCTTATAACCATTAATTAATCATATTTGTTATGCTAATTCAATGCTTGATTACAAAGTGAAATGTTCATTAAATACTAAAAACACTAATAAGGCACTATTAACTTTACATTATCATTTTATTATTACTATAAATGAATGCAAAAAACAAATTGCAGTTGACCTGGAGATTCTAATAATTAGAACTCACTTCCCACACCTTCATGACCAAAAAAAGGGGGTAGCACACAATTCTTTTATATTTACATATCTCACGCCAAAAACTTTCATATTTACATACATAACACTCATATCTTTAATATGACATCAAAATACATACAAAATAGAGCTATCACCGCTTTTAAAGGTGAAATAGACCTTTTTCATGCATACATATAAAGCACCAAAGTACTGTGTGCAAATATGAATATTAGGTGTAAGATATGTAAATACATAAGAATTGTGTGCTAGGTATGCAAATTTTCAAAAAACTAAATACCAATTTTGCACTCAATCACAGAAGTCATAAGAGAATTGAGATCCAAGGAAATAAAAATGATTTTCTCCGTTTTTGACATATACATTATTCATATATAGAACAACGAAAAAGAGATAAAAAAAATATCAAAAAAAGAAAAAAAAAATATTCAAATAACAAATAAGAAAAATGTAGAAGTTCTTTACGTAAGAAGAAACAATCTAACACTAAATGACTACAAGCCTAGTGTTTAAAAGACAGGCCACAAAGAGGTTTGTTTGAGCTTTGCTATTGTCTACCACAAAAGACTCCAAAAAGAAAATAGATGTACAAAATTGAATTCCATACTTACCGCTGCAATTCCAGGTGACTCGGAGTATAGGATTTGATGCCTTTATCTGGAACAGCTATGCGAACTATTTCATTGCAACAAGTTCCTTCAGTTCTACTGCTAAATACACAAAAATTAAACAAGATTTTATTTCGCAGCAGATGCATTTTGGATAAAACCATTGTTAGAAAACAAACAAATTAACCTTAAACTTTAAGTTTTTTTAGAAGTAGCGTTTAATTCTGGAAAGATATACATGCATACCACTCAATTCTCATGTATTTACATATCTAACACCTATACATCAGTTTTACACATTTATATGCCACCTTATGCATGAAAAGGTGTATTTCACTTTCTGATATTTAAAATAGTGGTATTTTTTACTTGATATGAAAGATTTAGGTGGTATAAATCTTAAAAAAAAAAAAAACTTTAGGTGTTAAATGTGCAAATAGATTAGAATTGGGTGCTATGTATGTAAATGCTACATACCACCCAATTCCTATGTATTTACATATCTAACATCTAAACTTTGCATTTTATATTTATATTCATACCACCCAAATCATATACCACCCAAATCATTCATATCATATAAAAAATACCACCATTTTAACATTTAAAGTGAAATACACCTTCTCATGCATATGGGTAAGGTGAGATATATGTAAAAATTGAAGTTCATGTATTAGATATGTAAATACATAGGAACTAAGTGGGATGTGTGTTACATCCATGCCAACTAATTCCTATGTATTTACATATCTAACACCTAAACTTTATTTTTTACATTTATACCACCAAAATCTTTCATATCACATCAAAAAATACAAGTATTTTAACTTTCAAAAAATGAAATACACATTTTCATGCATGGGCAAGGTGTAATGGTTCTTACATTTTTTTAGAAGTTGCACAGGTGTAACTTACTGTATGGATGCTAGCCATGTCAACGAGTATACTGCCACCATAATCATAATTGATGTGTTTGCTAATCAATTGGGATAAAATCCAATGATTCATCTACAGATGTCGCATTATTCTGTTCATGTGATTCACCTACCGGCTCATATTTTTTCCGAACATTTTGCAACACTGGAACCATACTATCAAAAAAACTATTTACAATATTAGCCTTACTTTCATTCTCAGTGTCTAAAAACTTTATATAAGACATCTCCACTTCAGTTTTCTCTTTCCCCGCTTTTGCCTTCAGATTTTCATGCATCTCTTCGAACGATGGTCTTACTAATTTCCTCTTCTTACTTTCCATTAGTTCTGCTTGGTTCCCACATATATCATCACATTCATTAGAATAATCTCGCCCTTCATACTTTTGGCCGGTGCTTCGCCGCCTGAAATCATAAAAGGGAAGTTCAAAACTCTCTTTAGCTAAAACATGATTGTTTGGCTCCCTGAGTTCAACATGTTCTGAGTCAATAATGTCGTCATATTGATCAATTTCCCCACTTTCAATTAATTGGACTGGTAGCTGTGTGATCTTATTCTGATATCCGCTACCATGCTTCTCATTGATATCGCAGTCCACCGACTTTTTCCATAGCTCCATGGCACTCCAACCATCTATCCTTTTCGAAAAACTGTCCAAAAACTCGTTGAGAGATAACGCCCTCGATAGTTCAGGAGTCTCGTGATCACGAATGTTTCGATATGGGGACGAGCGAGGAAAAGCACCGAGCAGACCCAAATCAGAATCTGCATTGAGTGGACCATGGACCGCAGCATATTCATCAGCCTCAGCCTCAGCTCTCTGATAAGTTCGACTTTCTCTGTCGAAACACTCCCGTTGTGATTCTTCAGCCAATAGAAAATAATCGGGACAGTAAAATACTTGTTTCGGATGAGCTCCAGAAACACTAGCATGCTGCGAAATTCGACTTTGACGACCTGAATCGTTATGCAATGATGTGAGTGACATTTCTTCTTGAATCACGGCCATTCTTGGAGTCATATCTAGGCTTGAGTGGTGGTTTGATTGAATCAAATATGGTGCCTCCATGTCATCTAAATTGGGGTTATATCGAGACGAATGTGGAGGTGAAGGTTTATATTCAATCTCAGAATTTTTTTCAGTAGAAAAATGGCGAGATGCGATACGATCATCAGGCAAGAAAGGTGAACACATCTGGGAATTTGGGGTTTCAGAAAAGGAATTCTGTGGGTAGGATGAAGGGAACATGTCTGGTTGATTTGATCCTCTTCCAGTATTGGTGTTCTCAAACTGGTCGAATGGGAATTTATGTTTAAATTGCCCTCTAACTTCGTAGTTTCGTTCTCTAATATCTGATCTGCGTTCCACATATTTTTCAGTTTTGGTTAAGCTAAAGTCGTCTAAAGCCGAGTTCTCAAACTTGTCAATGATTTTGTTGGGTATGCCATGTCCCTTATATTGGTTTATGTTAATCTTCCTAGAATGAAACAAGTGAATCAGCTTGATAACCTGCATTTAACAGTAATGATGGAGTTATTATGTAATAATAACATTGTTTTTAATGAGTAATAATTAAGATAAATTAATTTAAATAAATTCAATAAATTAGTTAATTAAAGTATTTAAATAAAGAAATTAAAGCTAAACTAATTACAAATGAATCTAGATTCAACTTAAGCAGATAATTAATTTAAAAACAAAAGATTATTACCGCTAACAACACCTGTTACCATGACCAACATACTGCCCGCAGAGAACTAAACGTGGGATTCGACAACCTTGTTCGAATCAAGCAAAAGTGAGAGCGAGAGACTGAGAGAAAGGGAGAGCCGGTGATCACGCAATCAAGTATAGGAGATCGAGCGGCTTAAGCATGGGCCTTCCGCATGAACGCTTGCAGTCGATTACATGGGAGACGTACTCAACGGCAAGAAGCAAAACTCAGTTATTTGGGTAAGGATTTTAAATCCAAAGACTTCAGTTTTTCTCATTTTCCTCTTCCTAATGCTAGATAAATTAAACTCAAATTTTCTCATTTTCCTCTTCCGGTGT